GGGTGACCACTTGTGTCGGGCATTTTGGTCATTTGCTGGGTTTCCGGATCGGGTTAGCTGGGGTGATCCTGAACTTAAGTCTGCTTTTTTGCCTCAAGTTTGGTGGTTTTTGAATTCGCTCTTTCTTCGGCTCTTGACAATAGCTTCTCGTACTTGTGTATGATACAAGTAATGCATTTTACAATCGGGATTTCCGCACATTCTCTACAGAACCATATACCTTGTGGCTGAGTGGCTAACTGTTTTGCCTGTTTTACCAAGAGTTTGGCACATGAACGGTGAAAGTGTTTTAGGCAGTGTGTGCAAAATATCCCCGTTTTAACTTCTTTCTTACAACTCCGTAGGCCGCAGACTTCCGATGCCCAAACACTTGGTGCGGCACTTGTCGACACTATGCGACGTCCCATTTTTGCACTTTATCGAGCAGAGAGACTGACGAAATATGAAAAGGTCACGAAAAGCGAGAGGAGTTATCTCGTTCGACCGCTCGTCCGGATCAGTGGAAGTCACAAGTACACAGAACAATGACAAAGGTCACTTGAGGAATATCAATCGGCTTTTCTGGCCGCAGTGGAACAGACACAAGTGCGACTGCGAGTGGCAGCTATGATTGCACTGAACTGCACAAATAGATCCGTAGAATGCTTGAAATTGAATTTAGAAAGTCCATTCCATATATACAAACTGCGAGCTGATTTAACCTCTACTAAAGTAAATAATTTCAATTGTTTTAATTATATAATTTATCTTTATTCGGTTCAGTTTTCGTTATACATTTAAGTTAAGTAAGTACATTCCCGAAAGGTTCAAGTAGGACTCCAATGGGACGGTAGTGACCGGAGTAGTTCTGGAGGGACTCGAATAGGACGGTCAACCGTCCCGCTGTGTGGATAGGATTCTTCACTCTAGCCCTCACGGGGTAATGGCAAAAGGTTATACAAAACTCAACCCCGCACATCTTTCTTCACTTTCAGGGTAATTTCACACTAGAACCCAGTGCAAGAAGAGATAGTCTCTATAACAAGCAAAGCGTCATTCAAGTCTCGACTTGATAAGTATCTAGGTCTAATCGCCTTTTCAAAAAACAGTAAAAGAAAGGTACAATAGACCTTTTTATGTATTTATGCTTTTGCCCATTGTTAAGTTTACTAATAATGTCGTCGAAATAACTAGCATAGCTAGTCCCCGGGGAAGACGGTACACTGCCCCTCATTTTTTTCTGATTTTCCAGTTGCATCCTCCACGAACAAAAGCCGTCAAGCATACGGGAGAGTCACTTCAAGACTTCTCTCGGTTGAACTGCATTTTCCCTGCCTCATCGAGAAGCGGCTTTATGACTCATCCTCATCCCAAACGTGTTAACAATCTAATATCTCTACCGTACTAGTGATCAAGAATAGGGATGAATCCAATCTGACCATAGCTGTACTCAACATCAGGTCTCTCTACAGCAATGTGTTCCCATTACGTAAAACTGCCCTATCCATGAACCCGGATATCATCCTTATCACTGAAAGCAAATCCACCAATCCTATTTCTCTGATAGAATAACACAGCATCCTCGAAAACCGTTGTTCCCGTAAAAGAGGTGGTCGTCTTGCCTATGCCAGAAACGAAATCTCTGGTTATTCATGTGCTCATCCAATCGTAGGCGATGTCCCAGAGTCACTTTGGCTAACCATTCCATTTGGACAAGTAGAGCTCATACTAGGCTGCGTACACCGCACACTGAACAATTTTTCGCTCAGTTATGATAAAATAATTGAAGCTTTTAATAAATTATTGAGCACCCGTTTCGTTCCGAAATAATAGCGGGGGATTTTAATGCTCCAAATATCTTATGGTCATCATTTAAAGCACCCACAAATTTGGGTACGCTTATTTTCTGCATCTGTGTCTACTTATCTACTTGTTTAGACTAAGGACCACATTAAAATGTGCGTTTCGAGGAAGAGAACAATGAAAATTTTGTACAAAAAGCAACTGATATTTAGCTGAAATGACATAAGCGAAATTGAAGACGTGCGAATTACGCTCTAATGCCTCTCCGAGTGGTTTGAGCGAATTCTAATGCAGTGCAAAACCTGACAAAATGACCATGGAGTGTTTGCGAGGATGCGTTGTGAATCTGCAGGAAAATTCAACACAAAGACGAATTACTGTCTAAGTCGCAGTCACAGTCTAGATAATAGATCGTTGTACAAAAATCATTACAGAAAAGAAGTGTCTACGGCGAACAAATGTCGGGGTTCGTAGGCGGAGGGAGTACACTTAAGAGATTCACACTAGAAACATTCGGTTAATCAAAACCTGATCCGGGGAGGTAGCGTAAGAAACAACTTCCCCACAGATAAACGAGTCGGAAGCGACAACTTTTACGGAACAATGTTATACGAATTGTACATGAAGCAGGTATTAAGGATTGCCTATAAGCTTTTTCGAATCAGGATTGATGGAAGAAAGATTTGACAAATGTTCAATTTGAAAGATGCCCCGCTGGAAGCTTTAATCACATTCATATGAGAGTATTTTAAGACTCGTCTGATGTGCTATTGCTTTAAGAAGGGTAAACAGAAATTGCTCTCACTCATTCGGGGCGTATCACGATGAGGCGTCAAGTATCACATTACACGACTCTCACGCAAGTCTGGTCACGTCAACGTTGGTCACACGTCGTCACAATCTTCTCATTTCGCTACGGGAATAATGGAAGTGTTAGAAATCAAGGAAATTCGCCAACAGCACATCAATCCGGAGCCCTGATGGAGCACTAGCATAAAACGTTAGGTGACTCTCTGTTACTTCTAATGGTAAGCACGTTTCGCCCCACAACAGTAAACAGCTCACTGATCCATAGGCGACGATAACCTTCACACCATTGATGCTGATGTAATTCCATTCACTTCCATTGTGGGGATGAGTGATGGTCACATAACTACGCTGTAAACCTCGAGTGATCGATCTTTTGTTACCACTACCCAACTCAAACAAGAGGAACCAAATACGCAGTTGAAATCATTCAATGTCAAGTCTGTATGTCAAACCGGAATTATGATTGTCAATAACCGCAAAATGAAGCAGTCACGACCACAACTTTTAATGCAGATTCACTTACATATCGTCGGATGAGTACACCGGCCTAAGAAAACTAGGTGAGTCGGTTATCCGACTCCGTTGACTAGAAACAGTCACTGTGAACGTGCAAGCGCAGTCACTCGATTATTTTGGACTTTCTCACGTCTAGAACGCTTCTGTTTGGCCGATTGATTGTGTGAATACCGAGGCTCAGTTTTCAGGCCCACAATGGAAGGTTTGGCAAAACGGTAGGTGAAGAAAATGTCAGACGGAAGCCTAGATGGATGGGGTCATGATACGACTCACGGGGGCGACAGACAAAACTACGGTTAAGCGTGAACACAACTTAAATCTGGCAAAAACAACTACTTCGGCTGAGTCGAAGAATACGCTGTTCAGATAAGAAGGCAACAACAGATAACTTCTACAGTTCCAGTCGGAAAG